TCCCTTCCCCTTTTCCCCTCCATTCCCACTGCCTGCATCTCCAGAACCAAGTATGAGCCTTTCTTGAAGTGGATGTTTTTAACATGAAATACAGTGTGTTAGCCCAGAGGGATCAGATTTATCAGATAAATCCCAGCAGGTCTATACATGTTGTCACTGTCTGGTATAGTGCAATAAAAATATACATTGGAATAAGTATAAATACATATTTACAGTGTACAAGTAAAGCCAGGAGTATGGACTGTTTTGAATGCACATTAATGACTAACAGCTTAGGCACAGCATAAAACAGGGGTGAGTACATTTTTAGGTCTTAGCCAGAATAACTTTGGATTTACAGCAGTGGAACTGAGGCAGGAACAGACATCTCTTTCTCCTGGCAGTAAATGAATTTTCTACTTGGACCGTTTCTTCTTTGCCCGTGATGGCAGCCTTCCTTGAAAAGCATTTGGAGTGAAATGCCTAGTGCCAGAGCCTGTTCTCCAGACTATTTCCCACTGGTGTCGTTGTCCAAAGCCATGTGTTCAGGGATATAGCTATGGAGTGGGCTGTGTGCTGCTACAATGCCCTGCTTAACTGAAACCACTTGTCTTTTTAATGCTATAATAATACTTTGTCCTTCCTCTTAAGAACTCAAGGGACTCTACAAACCTGAGTGAATGACTCCACATCACCAGGAGGGGTGGAGAAATAAAAGCCCAGTGCCTTGCCAAAGGTTATATAGTGAGACTGTAGCAGAGCTCGGAGGGGAACTGGCTCTTGGCTTGTTCCAGTGCTTTGCTTCAACCCTTAGACCTGGAAGGAGGAAATACACTGCTCTGTTTGTACAATATTTGTAAGGTACTTGCATGCTAAGCTGATGTGTACAGGCTAGGTCACTTCCTCCTTTAAGAGTGGTTGGAAAGCAGAACCCTGGTCCTTGACATTGATATCCAAGGGCCATTCCTGATGGTGCAGTGACACAGGGTTGCCCAGGACAGCTCTAAGCCAGTATGTCCAGCACGCAGTGAAATATTGTGGGACATACCAGCCCAGATTCCAAGAGCAGCCCGTCTCTCTCGCATGGTAGTGAGACATGGGGCTTAGAGTGCTGTGGCACGGCTCTCTGTGGAGCTCGCTTGGCTGACACTAACCCAGGGATCTTTGCAGTATGGTGCATATGAGGAATGCATTTACAGACCCCTGTTATCAGCTAGGGATAGGAGCTGTTTTTTCAGTATTTTTCCTCCCACTCCAAGCTAAAAATACAACACAGTTAACTTGTCATTTGATCACAGTAAATGTGCTGCTGAAAGAAAATTACTTTAGGTGTCTGTTGCCAGAATTTATGACCTGGGCAGGTCTCTGCAGAAGCTCAGTCCGGGTTGAACGCAGCTCACTGAATGCAATCTTAGCCTTAGCCTTATCTTCCTAACCATCAAAGCAGAACACGGTTATGGCACTAGCTTGGCACAGATTGTTGCTGCCACTAGTCCAGGAGTTCCCACCTCACTGCCGGTCTCTCTGATGAACCAAATTCTGCATGGGGTGTAAATCCAGAGTAATAGTGACCTTGGAGGAATTCCTCTGGATTTGCACTTGAGCAGGTGATGTCAGATCTGGGCTGGTACCTGTTGTAATTGAAAAGTGAGAGCTTGCACAGGTTTCTTTGTCGTCTACCAGGATGTGCAAGGCCCTGGGGTTCCAAAACATCAAAGCCAATGACATGTCTTTTCCAGTCCCCAGGGGAACGTAGGGTGCTATACGAGCTGTAGGGTGGGCAGCCCCATGCTGGATGGAGATACTGGGGAGAGTCTTCTTCCCTGGAGCATGTGCTAGCAGTGCGAGCTCCAACAACGACGAGGAGCCATCCCTCACTTGAGACTGTGTTGGGTCTCTCTGTGCCTCCGTAGATCCACCTTGCGCTGGAAGCCCTTGGCACAGAGCTCGCAGCTGAAGGGCTTGAAGCCAGTGTGCTTGCGGCTGTGCGTGATGAGGTTGGAGCTCTGGCTGAAGGCTTTGCCGCATACCTGGCATTTGTGGGGCTTCTCCCCTGCAGGGCAGAGAAAAGGGTGAGAAACACTGACGGATGACTGAAGGGAAGAAGAAATGCCCTTTAGCAGGCTCAGACACGACTGGCTATGTTGGGCATCAGGATGCTGCCAGCCCAGCTGTCCTGGTTGTGCATCTGCACTCTGATCCAGCACCGGAGAGTGAGAAGGATCAGAGACAGTCCTCCCCAGCTGTGCGGCCCATGCCCTGTCTGCATCCAGGGCTGGGTACAACCCTGACATGCCCCGGAGGCTGCTCAATTACCACCTCCTTGTCACAGAGAGGACATGCATCTCGGTGATGCTTACAACTTCTGCCAGTGCCTCTGGACACTTATCCCAGTTCAGTATCTATCTGTGTGGGGACTATGAATGTGTGTCAACATGATGGACTCTGATTTGCATTCACTTTTTGGGAATATTCTGTTTCTCACCGGTGTGGATGTAAGTGTGTTTCTTCATATCCGACTTTTGATGGAAGCGTTTGCCACAGTATTGGCAGGGATAGGGCCGTGTGTCTGAGTGGATCAGTAGATGAGTGGAGAGGGTGGAGGAACGCTTGAATGTCTTCCCACACATCTTGCACTCAAAGCTTCTTTCCTGTTAGGGAAAAAATAATGGGATGCCTCCAGCTGCAAGACATGTGACAGAGCTTGAAGAGAGTTAAGAGCATTGAGAACAGTAGATTTGATAAGCAAATCTCCTCGGCTCCTGGACTGATACGCTAGGTGCAGTACAACGAGTATGTGGGGAGGATTACATATGGAAATGGATTACATCTTGTGATGTAGGTGCTCTTGAGGAGCAGGTGAGGCACAGAAGAACCAGTAGCAACAAACCTCTCCTCCTGTCCAAGGAATTATCAAGGGCAGTCTGGCATTTGAGACTAAGATCTATGATCTGTGGTCTTCAGAGCTCCTATCATTGCTATTGGGTGCTACAGGGAAGCCATCAAGTTTGTAACCTAGGAAATGTCACTTCCTTTATAAAGTGACAACAGCCAAGGGCCAAGCACTCCTGAGCTCTAGAGACAGTTCTCTGGAAACATGCTACCCACCTGGGAGTGAATATTGGTGTGCTGCTCCAGGCTTACAGCGTGCCCAAAGGTTTTGCCACACACTTCACAGGCAAAGGGACGGGTTCCACTGTGAGACCTGCGCACATGGACCTCCAATCCATGGGGAGTGGAGAATACCTACAAAACGAAATGCTAGTGACAATTTTTTTTTTAACATGAGGCAGCTGTGTCTCCATCTCTGTTTTCAATTCCTTCTCTGTATTGGATTATGGCCTCTCATGGCCCATGTGAACCATGTCATTCCTAGTACTCGTCCCCAGTAAGGAGAACAAGCAGGTGGCCATTCAGAGCTGCATGCCTTGCACTTCAGTGTAACCCAGTGAAACATGGATGTATGCACTGAAAAGCTCTCTGGGCCCTCCCCACCCCGAGGTTCCCATCTGCCACACACCTTGTTGCACTTCACACAGTGGTAGGTCTCCATGTCTGAGGAGTAATGCACGCTGTAATCTAGAGGGGGCTCGGTGCTTGGCAAGAGGTGGCTTCCGTACAGGCTAACGGGGTGCTCCAAGAGGGCTGACTGCATGGTGGAAGACATCTGTCGGTAGCTGTATGGCAAATGGAAAGCATCCCAAGAAAAGCTGGTTTTGTAGAAGGCAGGGGTGCTCGTCGTGTTAGTGCAGTCTTTGATCTGCAGACCTGGGATGGCCGTCTCTGAGTTTGCAAAGGAGAGGGAGAAGTGAGTGTCACGCCATTGCCTGCAGCTGGGCACCAGTAAAAAAGCTCCCCAGGTACCATTCCTCCATTTAATGTCCTGCCTGACCATGGGAGTTCCAGCTGGTAACTCCTCCTGTGATTCAAATCCTGAGCCCCATACAAAGTTCCTATTAAGACTTTGATTTCAATTTCAGGAAATTTTAGGGAGGAGGGTATGCTAAGGAAATATTAACCCCCCTACTAGCCCTGCTTCATGGGGTGTTTGAACAAGTATCATGGGGCTACCCGCCTTGACCCACAGAGCATGGAATTGCATTAGTCCTTGAGATTTGGAGGCTCGCTCACTGTGAGATGCTGATCTACACCAGAATTGTAAAGGACAATACCGAATGCCCTTGGTGAGCTCTGCTTGGGACAAGTTTGACCAGAGCTGTCAAAATAAGAGCTGCCATTTACTAAAAATCTGGACCCAGTTGTAGGGGCTCCATACGCCAGCCCAGCCCTGACTTCTTTTGCAACTGTGGTCTTGGGTAGCAGACCTGGAGCTGAAGGGCCTGGCAGCATCCTGCTCACGTACTGGACAGGGCCAGTCTCTTCTTTCAGTTCAGGTGGGTACTTTTCTTGTTTTGGAACCACACATTCTATGTCCTGCTTGTTGATGTCCTCCGCTGTCTTGTCTGCTCTGCCTGTAATCACACAGTAGTGTCACAGTTAGTTTATTCCAGCTGTTTAGCCAAGAGTCTGTTAAGGTGGGTTTTACATATTCTTACATATGAACTCATGCTTGGTTGGATACATGAGCCCATGCTCGGCTCCCTAACTGAATGCTGAGCAGTGCAGCCAAGGTCTGTTCATTACTGACAAAGGGAAATTCCAAGCAGGATGAGATAGGCAAGGTAGAGGAGGGCAGGAAGAAATGATAGGACAATTGATACCCTCTACAGTTAGAGAAAATTAACCCTAGAAGGCCATGTCTGCAAGAATCATTTCCCTATTTAAAACCATTTTCATTTGTGTGGGTAACTAACAATCACTAACTTACTAACTTCCCAACCCCTCTCCTAAGAGAGTTCAGTATTGTTAACTTGAATGTATGGACAGCCAAGTAGGGAAGCAGAGAGGGGAGGTTGCAAAGGTGACCACAGAGCCTCGTCTCCTCCAGCCCACAGTGACATTTGCCCATGTTGTCCAAGAGGCCAAGCAGCACTTTTTCAAAGTAGACTTTAGAGGGAGAATGTAAAACGGATAGAGGTCCAATACATGTGCCTCCTTTCTGCTGGAGACAGGACTAGGCTGCTGAGGGTCAGTATTCATCTGTTGTCCAAACCCTCTTGTGTGACAGAGGCACAACAAATGGCCAAAGGATGACGGCATGAATTTAAATGAAAATGTCACCTCCTTTCTTTTTTATCAAACTTATCAATAGGGCTGTACTCTAATCTGATAGCCAGGGCTACAACAAAGGGTATGTTGATCCTAAATTTGAATAAAGAAAATTTGAATGGTGCCTGAAGGAAGAAGATAATTGCCGCAGCCCTGCCACTGCAAGGATGGATGTGGGAGAGCGTGTGCAGGAGCAGAGGGAGAAGAGCAGGCACAGGCAGTGTTAATACAGCAGCCGGCCCTTCGCCTGTGAGCGTGCAGGACTCCTTCACAGTCAGTGTTAGGGTATCCCTAGTGTCTTCTCACTCTGTTAACTTCCCTGCAAGTCACTGGGAGGAGGCGGTAACACACGGAGGTAGAGAAGATGTAGGTCCAGGGGTAATGTGGGCAGTGAACATGGCAAGAGATGGAGGTGGCAGAGCTGTGGGTTTGTCGAGGACTGACAACCAAGTGCAAGCTCTTTTTCCCAACCGTTTGTTGCCTGAAGTTGGCTGTGGTTCCCAAACATGACCAACTCCATACAGCAATCTTATATCCCAAATCTCCCCAGCAGGAAACAATGGGAGGATTTTGATTTGGCTTCAGTGGGACAGTGTGGATTTGGCCTAGAGAAAGAGGGCACACAGTGGGGGGTCAGCTTGTCCTTAGACTGACTTCCTCAAGTGGAACTCCTTGGTGTTTCTTTAGCTCATTCCCTTAGCTTGCTTACTCAATTATTGATCATAGAATCATGGAATGGTTTGGGTTGGAAGGGACCTTAAGATCATCCAGTTCCAACCCCCCTGCCATGGGCAGGGACACCTTCCACTAGACCAGTGCCTTGGTGACTTGATTTGCCTTGGTGTGTTCTTACAAGCCCGGTGGATAGGTTGACTCACCAGCGAAGGGAGAGGTTACTGGGTCCCACGTGAGTATCGGCAGGTCATCTTCCACAAAGCGGTGTTGGTGATAGGTATGAGCCTTTTTGCTCTTCACCAAAAAGGAACGTGGCATTTTCCATTCACTGCCTGGGCAGAAACACAGAATAAGGGCAGATAGATCTCTGTGGTTTGGGGGGTAATTTCTTATTTGTTCCCCCAGAACATCAGCTCTGTATGCAGCAGTGATGAGAATTAAAAATCTTCTAGTAGGGAAGATGGTTGAATGTGTGTGAATCTATGCTCTGGCTACAGGACACGGCGCACGTCTGACCTTACCCTCCCTGAGAGGACGCAGTGGGGACCGCGGGTTGGAGATCACCCCTTTGAGAAAGGGTTTGTCTTGGTGTTTGTACCACACCCAGGAGAGTGCAGCCCCAATCCACGACACGGGCCTCTCCGTGAAACTGCGACGCAAATAATTATTACAGAAACAATATCAATAATAGGAGAGAGGCAGTGGAAAATCCCCACGGTGAGTGGTGGGTTTCCTTCTGGTTGGCCATAGCTTGAGTATTGTCTCTTCTGGCTGACAAACAGGAGTCAAGCAGAGGCAGAGCAGAAGTGCTGGCTGAGAGAGGTTACCTTTTGGATCTGACTCAAATATCGCAGACCGTTGAAATGACGGGTTAGGAACAAACATAAAATGCTGAAATTTAATCATACAAAATTCTCTTGCAATGCATCTGTTATCTTTACCACCCAGAACCCAGCCCGCCCTGTGCCCGCTTCCCATGGCTGGTAACTGCTCTCTCACAGGCAGTACGACAACGGGCCATGCTGTGTATGGCAATATCAGCTGGTGCCTTATTTGCATAGGTATTTGCATTTTCCCTTGTAATTGTTCAGGATACTAGCAGTAAAAGCAATCCTTGCTATATTCCATATGAAAAGTCAGCAGTAAGTCCTGGCTCTCTGTTGCTGGGAAAGGGCATTAGGCTGACTCTTTCCCGAGACCAGTGGACCAGTGGAAGTGTAGCCTACTTATTTACTAACGCAGAACAACGTTTGCTCCTGTCGAGTAGGAATGACCTGAAATATCAGTGTAAGACAAGACAGGGCAGTGCAGGCTCCTGGAATGCCAAACAGCCAGGGATGGAAAAGGTCTGCTTCCTCGTGCTCGGCAGCGCAGTACCCCTGTGTGTGAAACATAATTGTGCAGCCCAGCTGTGTCTTGTTTAAAGGTCCGAGGGTCGGGTTGACGGCGGTGCCTGCGGCTGCAGGCGTGTGTGCCGTGGGTCTGCTGAGGAGGGGTGGCTTGCCAAGCCCATGCTTGCGGGTGACAGTCAGGTGCTCGCCAGCCCGGCTGCCTTCGGAAGTGCCGTTATAGCTGTCTTTTCAAATCTGGTCCAGGATTCCCACTGTTTCTGCTGTGACTTCAGGGGTAACTCTTGGTGTCTCTAGCTGTTTTTTCTTCTGAAATGACTCACCTGTTTTTCTTCATCTTTTTCCAAGAAATTTGCATGTAACTTGAGATGAGTAAGAGAAAACAGAGGCCAAGAGTAGATTTCTTAATTTAATTTTAGAAAGAGGACAAAACAGTACTGCGAATGAACCGTAAGTATGCCCTTGAGGGGAGGGACACTGAAGTACATCGGTGTATCTGCTCCTCTGTAACTCTCTAAGGAGGTTCCTTCAAGGTATCGTAAAGGGTGTCTCTGCCTGGTGAAAGGCTGTGGGCACAGAAACACTGCCAGCTCAGTACGAACAAGGGGGTGTTCTGCAACGGGCACAACCCTGCCAGCAGCGTACTCTGCTTCGCCTCCGCGCCCCACATCCTCGCAGAAGTGCTTAGCTCAGAGGGTCTCGCAGCTCTTGCTCAGGCCCAGCTGGGATTATCTGTGCATGGAGCTGCCCTCTGCAATACAGACCTGCTGCAAGTTGAAGTCCTGCCACAAGCCCTTTATACATGGAATTTCCACTCATGCCAAAGGGATTTTCCCATGTGGTGGGGCAGGACTGTGCCCACAATGGAGGGTATTCATACCAGCAAGCTTTAGGCATCTGATTGCCTGAATTAACCAGTTCATTTGCCCGGGCTTCCTCCACAGTGGAGGACGAGGCTCCAGCAGCAGGTAACTGAATGCAGGGAGAAAGCATGCACCTGGCAGTGCCTGCTGGAAGGGTCTCTCCCTGCCCACGGCTGGAGGACCCTATGGCATTAGCCAGGCAGCTTAGCCACGTAAATCAGAGGGCTGGCGTGGGTGGCATAAGCAGTCTTGGAGTGTTGTACGGTAGTACCCCTATGCTGAGTACACGAAGGCACCAAGTACTGCTCCTCTTTTCTGATGGCGGTTGAAAGCAAGTACACATGAACCAATGGGATTTTTCTGGATGTGTTTGCCCCAGCATATGTAAAAGTCAAATTTGGGCCAGTATCTTGACTGCTGATAAGGGCCTGCACGGAGCGCAACGATCTCTAAGGCACTACTGAACGTTACAAAAGGAAGTTACCTTCCCCCACCCCATTTTACAGAGAAAACAGGAACTGGGAGCCCAAAGCATAGTTAATTAACAACTGCATTGGACTGTCTTTGTGATTCACGCTGCCGGGTTAGAGGAAAGCTAGAAGCACAGATTGTGAGAGAAAAAATACCATCTCTCCTTAAAACCCAGGATTAGCAGCAGCAAGTGATCAGCTGCTACTAACGGCTGGGCTGACTGTATTTCACAGGGGAAGTAGCGCTACGGACAACAGACCCTGCTGTGTCTTGAAGTAATCGAAGCTACCAACAGAATTTAGCTTCAACCTTTTGCTAAGAATGAAACTTCATTTTTATGGAGCCCGTTCTTGCCAGCCACCGTGGCAGCAGTTTCTACCTCGACTGGCAAGTGCACAAGGCAGCAGCGCCCACTACCTCGACTGGCAAGTGCACAAGGGAGTTCACTGCTTGGGCAGCAGCGCCCGCCCAGAGCGGAGGTGCCGTGGCGTGCTCTGGAATCAATACAGGGTGTAAAATCAGTAGCCGGCTAGAACTGACATTCTTACTTGTTTGCCATTCCTGCAGCAGTACAATAATGATGTAGTAACCTGCCCTGAGGGAAAGACAGCCAAAAGGACCCAGGTGAAAAAAACCTGCTTCACTGTTTTGGGTACCTAACTCAAGTTAGGAAGCACCTTGGAAGGGCTTCTTTTACCAGCTATAAATTCCCCCGTCAGCTCTGAGAGCGCCCCCAGCATTCACAGGCTGCCCTCCTATGTTCAGACTCAAAGTTCCTCCATCCCCAGCGATGCTCTCTGGTGCTTTTGCAGAGTATCACATGTAAAACTGTAATGTAATACTGAAACATTGGAGATTGTGCAAGAACCAAATTAAAAGGGGTTTTTTTAGGGGTTTACATCTGATTTCAGGATCCTAATTTCACTTGATCCTATGCTCCTCATGAAGCCCTAACTCCCACTTCACTGTATGGCAGCTCATGGTACCTAAAAATACAGGATTGGGTCCTTTGATACAACTTAGAAATCTATATTCTCAATGAATTAGATTACGGAGCTGTTCTCTCTGTTTCCTTCACAAAACACCATATCTGGGATAAGGTGTTTGCAGGATTGTGCCATTCTGAATCAGGAACCCGATTTGCAGGATAAGTTCCATTTTAAAGCTGACTTTCATTTTCCTCTAAATTCAAGTAATCCCATTTTCAAATTTACAAGATTAATTGTAGAGATGAAACAATTTTCCCTGCCATACTCAGTGGAAATAATTTTAAGTTACAATTGATATATGTCATCATATAAGTTGATGAGTGTACAGAGTTTTAGGCTAAAAGAGGCTTATTTCTTGCCCATTGCTTAATTTATATTTAAATCTTAATATTACTTTCTGGCAAAAGTCAAGCTTCCAAAAATAAAGCATAATTTGTCTTTGAGAAGATTACAGTTGTGAAGAAAAATACACAAAACAGAACACAACCTGTCTCTGGGATTTTTAAGAGCCCAAATAAAATAAGAGGTTTTGTGGAATCCTGACTGTTTAAATATAGAAGCATATTCAATAAGAATTTCAGTTCTTTACAACAAAATTAATCATGTCTTCACTGAGGGACACGTTCAAACTCATATGTACTTGGGGCAAGTAACTTGAATGTGGCTTTAGTAGAAAAAGGAGCAGAACATTTTTCATTCTTGTGGTAAGACTGCACCATTACGGCAGGGATAGCAAATTATGGTGGAAATCTTGTCCAAGAAGTGGAATGGAAATGTGTGTATATCTCTAGTATGTATATATATCTACAAAAAATGTTTAGAGTATGATGGCAGCATTTGTTCTTTAGAAACCTCATGGCTCCTAGTGATGTTGGGAATGCCGCTGGCTTTAGCGAACTTTGCCTTAGGCTTCCATGGATAAATAGATTTATATAGCGTAACCTAACAAATTCTATCCCCTTTAATGCCTACATGCACTCGCTGTGTGAAGTTGCAAATCATTTGTTTTCCTGCTTAATGTATTGAATCAATCTGGTGATATATGAGGAACATCTATAAATAGCTATTCCATATGCTAGAGATCATTACGCTAATCAGCATATACTTAGAAAGGGTTGAAAAATAATGAGAGATTTGAAACAAAACTCCTGAACAGGAGAGACTGAATTCTCATCCAGCAAAACCGGCATAGATTAATTGATGTCAGCAGAGGTATGCTGTTTTCTGAATGTAAAGGTCTGGCCCTGTAAAAGAGCAATTACAAGTAAAACCAGCAAAAGTACACCCTCTCCTCAGTGCTTAAGTACAACAGTCACAACAGCCTACCTCTAGAAACTGTCCCTAGTGCCATGGGGCTTGCTGGGGCGCAGGTATCTGAGACCACTGCCACATCTTTTGTCTTTTGTCCCACTATTACCATTTGCACGTATGAGAGTGAAGTAAGTATATGGTACATAATTCCAAAAGGCTTGACTCCTTCAAGTGAACCATTATCATGAAGGAATCCTCAGGACAAGTGATTTATGCAGTGGAATATGTTACGTATTTGCAAACACAAGCAAAGAAAAAGCTTAGAAAAATATACAAGAGAAATGAGAAATCAATGAAATTAAAGGTGTTTAAAAGAATAAATAAATCACCTGTTT